CAATATTATTATTATTTAATTGAAAATTCTAGTTAAATTCTAGTTGAAAGTTAAAAGCTTTGTCTAAGGCTGCTTAAAAAAATATAAATATTATAAAATAAAAACATTTGATGGTCCCAACAATAATAAAGTAAGAAAATATGATCAAATCTACTATACATTCAATTCAGAGAACTGTTTTTAATTTAATTAACTTAAATACAGAGAAACCTGAAAAAAAATGTTCATAGACATATGTTGAAATTTCAGGAGATTATCAAAACCGAAATCAAGGGGGCACAGCAGGAAATTACATTGCTGTTCAGATGTCTTAGGAAAGACAAATACAATCGTTTACTAATGTCCCCTTTTGCTTTGCTACATACATATGTATTTGTTGTTTAATATTATTACATGTTTAATATTTTTTTATATTTTAGGAGATAATGTGTATGGGTTACACTTCATACATGGTGCAGAACAGTTGTAGTTATAGTACAATCCAATTTACAATCCTTTAATTTTATGTTACTGATTTAAAAATGTGCATCCCTGCTTCAATTTTGTAGATTAAAGGAGAACTATGGGGTTAGGGCTTTTCCCCATAGTTCTCCTTAGGGTAACGGGAGGACACAAACTAGTCACCCTAGGCTCAGTATACCACGAGCTACAGCTAGCGGTATACTGAGACACCGCAGCTGAAGCGGATCCCAACAATTATGCCTGGATCCACCCAGCTGCGTGAGTGACAGCTGGCTCTGCCTATCTAGAGGCAGATCCAGCTGTACACACGCCCCCTCCCCCGTCCGTTCCGCCAGTCAGCGATGGAGGATAGGAGCGGGGAGGGGGGAATCCAGCCCCTCCCCTGTCACAGCAGAACGCCGTGACAGGATCGAGAAGTGAGCGAACGCCGGTATGTGTTCGCTCACTTCCCGATCTACTGAGCCGACCTGAGGCAGTTTCACTGTCACAGGTCGGCTAGAACTATGAGGCTGAGTGCAAAGCACTCACCTCATAGTTCTCCTTTAACATGGGAAGGAACAGCACCATGGACAGCATCCACCCCATTCGCAGGACAGTGCAATTGCAACTTCACACTATGATGTTGAAGGCAATCACTTGCAAAGGTGGAAATGTCCTTCAAAAAAAAAATATCATTGTTTTCATTAGGTTTTCATAAGTTTTTGATGTTTTTACAAACACTAGATTATAAAAGTGTAATGGCTTTAATCAAGAAAGAGCTCAACATGCTGTTTGCATTGAGACTCCTTGGGGGTGATTTACTAACCTAAACACACGCACGCACCAGGTGCGTGTGATTTTCACACAGCAAAACATATTTATCAACCAAAAAGTCTCTAAAAGCATATTTCCACTAATGCCATATATGGAAAAATCATGCACATGATGCATATATAATGCTGCTTCACAGTTTAGACAAAAATGGTTAGCTCATACATTTACATTCCTGCATTCATCAACGCAAGCAACACAACATAGAGCTAATTTACACAACATCGCTTGCAATTCGTGCACAACACACCTGCTGGGTGTGTACACACTACAAAGGTGTCTAGATTCCACCAATAGATCATGCTGGGAGGGAACACACTACAGAGGTGTATACTTGTTTGTGGCGTGTTTATAAGGTTAGTAAATCAACCCCCTTCTGTCTCTGATTAAAACTCTACAGGACTTTGGGTGAGGGAATCAATACTTATTAAGTTGTGTGCAAATTGGAGCTTGATTCACCCGAACACCTAAGGCCAGACAGATGGACATGTGACTGACTATGATTAGTTAATAAAATGTATACAGCTATAGCTTCCTTTTCACAATAAACATTGAAAATGATAAGTGGAGGAGCAAGGAGGTTTTTGCACAGCTCTACACCACAGCGTGAGGGGGTGTCTAAAATGAAGTTCATATTATTATTATTGTTATGTTTCCCTTCCTTTTTCACTCCACTGATTGTAAAAAGCCCTTATTTCAGATCCTATAATCCACTCCGAGATTCCACTGTTTCGGTTGATTGCCCAAAAGAGAGTAAGTGCTGGAGAGCGTTGCTTTGAATTGATACCAGTTGAGTTTGTGGATGATATCAGAATTGGTCTTGCAAGTGAAGGTGATCATATCTCCTGAGAGGGCTGAAATATAATTTGTATTCTGGCTCACTGTGACCTGTGAATAGCAAATTTAAAGGAAATGATACATTATTATTATTAGTAGTAATAGTAGTAGTAGTAGTAGTAGTAGTAGTAGTAGTAGTAGTAGTAATATTAATTTACATTTGAAATATGTTATTTATTAATTACAATATATCAAACTTGTATAAAAAATCCAAGCTGTCCAGAATCATGGGGTTCATCTCCCCACAGGCTCCTTTCATAACTCCTGTCATACCATGCATTCACAGATCCTTTGATAGGATCTATGAATGCAGAGACTTCAAGTCCTGGCTGCCACCATGGACTACAAGTGTGGTGATATTGTCCATTCATACTTCCAGTTGTCCTTTTGCCGAAACCTCAGTACAGATAGGGAATGGGAGGAAGAGTCTGCAGGAGCAAGAGCATGGCAAACATGATCCCTGATGACAGTTGCAATGCGTTGTAGACTCATGCAAAAAAATCAGTAAATGCTCATTTTTTATTTTATTAATGTGTGTGTATTTATTGATATTTTTGCAAAAGGTTAACTATGCCTTTAAGGTAAATGGAGTGAACGTTTAGGTAAATACATAGTGCCAAAATATTGAGAATGTTTGGGTTTTTTATAAATCTTTTTATCTTTATGCAATCAGAAACATAAACAATGTATACATATCCACACAAACAAGCCTAAGGAAAGGGGGAATATTTCCTGAATAAATTTCCAATGTCATCTGAACAAATATAAAGAAGACTAACTCAATAAAATATAAACAAACAAAACAAAACTTGCAAAAATAAAAACAAATCCCCTCCTATTCAAACCATACATCATATTTCTCACCCTAACGGTCCATAGAAGTATAGTTAATCCATCTATCCCATATACTACAAAACTCATCATGATTCTCTTTACCAATTGCTATCCACTTTTCAGATTCCATGATAGAATTAACCTGCCTTACCCAATCTGCTCTAGTAGGAACCTTTTGACTCTTCCAGAATCTCGGTATTAACCTCTTTGCAGCAGTTAGAAGATGAGGCAAAACTGTAGCTTTATATTTAGCCTTTGAAACAGGCATCAAATGTAGCAAAAAGACCTCCAGAGCAAACGGAAGAGTCTCGCCCAAAACAATCTGTATTTGTTCCCTAATATTCTGCCAAAAAGGCTTAAGCTTCGGACACTCCCACCAAACATGTAAATATGTACCCTGTAAACCACAGTTCCTCTAACAGGAGGAGAGACCTTTTGATATATTTTCCTTAAAGAATAGGGACCTGGTACCACCGGGTAAGCACCTTATATATGCTTTCTTGAGCTCTGGAATCTACAGAAGTATAGACATGGGCCAAGATTTGGTCCTTTTGTACGTCCGTAAATGTCACTCCCATATCTCTCTCCCATTCCCTTATAAAGTACAAAGAACCTTTTGAGTTTACTTGCAATAACATGTTATACATAGGGATAGAGAGCGACTAGGGGGAGACCTAAAGTCGCATAATTTTTCAGAAAAGGTTAATGACCCAAGGGGCCTAATAGAACTAACATGTTCTCGAAAGAAATTACTGAGTTGTAAATAGCGCCAGGCATCTAAAGAGAATGTGCCCTTTTTCCCCTCAATTTCTCCAATGGGATGAGAGAATTCCCTCGCATAAATGTACTTAGATGAACATCCCCATCCACCGCTGAAGTCCACAAATACCATACGTGCTCACCCAGTAGGAACCAGGGAAAGCCACCAATTGGTACTAGAGGAGATATATTAGGAACCAATTTTCCCTTTTTGTTTACTGTATCCCATACCTTTAAAGTGTGTATAGTCAGGGGCGATACTGAAGCCCCAAAACCTCTACTGGCCGATGGTAGCCAGTTTGCATTAGCTACATTTCTACCAGCCATATATTTTCCCAACAGAACCCACTGCTTTTCTTTATTGAGAATGTTCTTAAGAAGGTCTTGTGATCTAGGTGCACCTATCAGATAACATAGCGAGTATGGTGCCCTTATATTTTCTCTTCTGCAGTTTGGCGATACAACTTGTCTGATATTAGGCTATGAGAGAGCAGAAGCACAATGATGAGGTTGTCTCTCTGCTCTGCCCTACTGTAAGTATGGTGAGAAAGGTAGATTGACAGTATGAGACATTTGCAGTGCTGATGATAATAAAAGACTGATTTTAAGACAGATCTAGGTGCTTACACTAATTTTACATAAAGGAACATTTAATCAGCTTTTATCTACCTGGAGTTGAAATATTTCTCACATAAAAGGAAGTGGCCCTATTTGCTGCATGGGGTTGTTTTTCAGCTCTGACATTTTATAGAACAATTACAAATAATAGAGGAAGTACGTTTTTGTAGAGCTGCGTATCACTGTGTGAGTGGCCACTTTCTGAATTGCAAACAGTAATAATTTCCCTCGTCTTCTTCTTTCATTCCTTGGATTGTGAGATGATAATTTGTTCCAGAACCCGATCCACTGAACCTCTCTGGGACCCCGGTATATTGTTCTGTTGCTTTAGTGATCAGAAGACTTAAAGGTTGTCCCGACTTTTGTTGGTACCAATCTAAAGTAATATATTTTGCATCAGGATGGTAAAGATCTTCGCTGGATGTACATGAGATGGTAACTGTGTCTCCTGGAGATTTCACAATGTATTCCGGAGTCTGAGTCATCACAATCTGACCACAGGAATCTGAACAAACACAATGATGTTATAAGAGTGTGAATGATCTACATGTAAGGGTTAATATTCCTATCCCTGTATTCAGTAGATGGTTGGAAAGCTGAGTCAACACTATTTATCTTCAAAAGCAGATATTAAGCGATTGCTTATAGAGAAATTAATAATTGCTGAATACACCAAGTGAAGGAGTTATAAACTTCAAATCTTCTTTATTCGGAAGAGAAATGCCACCTTGTTCCAAAGTAAAGCATTCTCCAAATGTTAGTGTTCTGGTAAAACTGATGTAATGCTTTATGATACTCTGACTTCTTGTCTAAATGTATTATCAGCTGTAAAAGTAAATGAAGAGTTATAATACAATACTATACCTTGTATATAAAGGTAAAAGACACAGAGCAGATATGTCACCAGAATCATTTTGAGGTCTCTAGACTGTCACATACACAGATCAATGATTTCCAGCTGTTTATATCTCATAAAATCTTCAGGGAAATAACCTCAGAGAACCTCTATGTAAAACAGTAGGCATGCAAATATCACTGTCTCAGATATTTCAGTACCACACCATGTTTTTTAATAACTGACTGATGCCGCCATCATACAGGATAAATTTCACAATTTTCAAATATTTTGACAAGTTGAATGTTTGTGTTTATATATATAAAAACGTGTGATCTGCTTGCAGCCTCCTTCTCACTGTATAGCAGCTCTAAATTCTTCAGAGTTTGCTGCCCACTATTTCCTGCTTCCTGGTCACATGTTTCCTGTGACATCACAGGGCAAATGCTGCTACCGAGATCAAAGGGAGTTCGTATACTGAACTCCCTTTGATCTCCTGTCACAGGGAAGCTGCTCGTCGGGCTCCACTGTCTGCTCGTCACAGACAAGTGGACGAGTGGATTTTTCGAGCCCTCTATATATATATATAACTGCTAATGGCCCACAGAACCCAAATCACAAAATTAATAAGACCAGAAGTAACTTACAATACCAAGTACAAGTGTATCTTTCAGAAAATGTATAAAATTGCCAGTTTTCAGCCCTTGTTTTTTGTAATAATATATCAGAGTTAATGGTAAAGGGACATTTCAACAATGCCTACAGGCAACCTTGGCACTCCAGCTGTGGTGAAAATACAAATTCCATGATGCCTTGACTCTGGGAGTCATGCCTGAGTCTTGCAATGCCTCATGGGACATGTAGTTCCACAACAGCTGGAGTGCCAAGGTTGCCTACCCCCTACAGCATTCCCTTTTCTGGTGACTTTCTCTGAACTGCTCCTGCCCACCCTGATACATGTAGTGGGCTCTAGGTGAGCTCAGGTGCACTTTACTTTTCTTTATAATTTAGTAAATATGTTCTAGTTTTCTGTAGTAAACTGAACTGTTAGTTCACTGTAGGCCACACATTAGTAAATCATACCTTCAGGCTACATTGGGTTGTGATAAAACATTTCACTTTCTTTCCTCCCCTGCTATGAACAATTGTAACACTCGTAGATTAGTATAGCAACAAATGATTCTTTCTATCGCAGCTGCACAGTATTCTCCTGTACCAGCCTCCGCATTAATTGTAACTCCCCAGAGGTGTCTACAGTTGGTCTTAATTCACTCAAGATTTCTTTCTAGCACCAACCATATGGTTTTAAGTAGGATTGAGCTTTGGGTTAAGGTTGACCATGAGTTTATCCTAAACCCAGGCCATTCACAGTTTTCTGAGCAGGCAAACTATATGGCCAAATGTATCCAGTTTGCCCACCCAAACCTCTGGGGGCTGGAGTTACAAGTCATTTATTAAGGTCTCATGCACACAGCAATCAAACATGCCACTGGGGATTCCTACAACAAGAACCTGCAGATTCTTGTGGCAGGAATTCTAAATGTGCATGTACAGATGTGGCCACTGTGCCCATTCAATTAAATGACACGCTGACAATGGCTGCATCTGTCACTGGCTGTTCACGTGTTACAGATCAGGAGAGATGCAGAGAGATCCAAGCATCTCTCCCAATATGCAGGTAATTGTTCCATGTACAAATACCTAAGGACATCCATGGACATGGAACCATGGAACTTTGCTAACTATGGGTTGTAGAATTCAATGTATTTTAAAAATTTTGATTTGATGGATCAATTCCACTAACTGTGGGTCTTTCAGCAATTTTTTTAACATTTCAGTAGAAGAACCTCAAATCAAGTGTAAAGCATTATGGGGGAAATGTGATGTGAAGGGGTTTGCCTTGCTTCTGCCGGGCCTGGAAAGTTTGCAGTAATTGAGTCAACTATGAATTTTGAATCATATTAATGGTGCTTGGTGAGAGCAAGTTGTACCATAAATTGATCTTTCAACACAAATTGAGATGAAGTAATGTCTTAAAAAGATGAAATTGAGAGTTATAGACTGGCATAGTCAAAACCCTCATTTGAGTCCCATAGAAATGTTGTTTGCCTTGCACAAAGGCGGTTTATGCAAGGAAACCCTCAACCACCCTGCGACTGATGGAATTATACACGGAGGAGTGGTCAAAAATGTCACTTAGTCAACACAAAGTGGGGTTTTTGTTGTGGTTAGCTTACACTGAAGCTTTTATTTTACATCCCATTAATAAAAAGCAGACCCCAGAGAGATGGTGCAGATAGAAATCGTTGAATAAGGAAGTGGCTGATCGCATGATTTTTCACAATTCACATGATTTCACCTAAGAACATGACGTGTTCTCCTTCAACCAGCTTTTTTTTCCCATTCACTGTTGTAAGCGGTGCTCTGCTTGTTTTTGCATTTCAAAGCAAGCAGAGCACATTGCACATATTTAAGGAAGACATCACAAATATGTAGTGTATTTTTATTTCTTATATTAAGCAGTTTTATGGACATTGTAAGGCAATACCACTGCTTTATACATGGGGCCCAAAGTCATGACACACAGTAGTAAATCAACAGTTGCGAAAAGTCTCCCATACATCCACAGACAGGGAGACACTCACCAGCAACACACTTAATTTTAGCAGTCATCAAAGACTTCCTCAAATTGGAAGACCTAGCATGACCTGGTGTGATGACGAGGAAACCCAACCACATGTTCACTTTGGAAAACTTAAAAGCCCTCACCAACTCGCAATCTCCCTCCATCAAGAAAACTTCCACAGCCTGGGCTGCAGATAGATCCCCTCCATCCAGTACTGGATCCTAATTAGGGCAGAACATGAAGCTGTGTGAGACACCTGATTTATGGGGGGGGACAAGGGAATGTTAGAAAAGTTCTGAACTTCAGTGCTCTTCACAGTTAGTCACTTTCAGCTTTATAAGTATTAGACTAGTTTTTCAAAATGTTATCAGCAATGACTGCCCTTGTATTTCTCTAAGGCCTGGTTCACACCTGGGCGTTTTACAGCACATTCCTATGCGCTGTAAAACGCTCAACATGTGAAAACCAATAATTGCCTATGGGCATGGTTCCCACCTGGGCGTTTTACAGCGTGTAGGAACGCGCAATTAAACGCCCTACGCCCAAAGAAGTACAGGAGCTTCTTTGGGGCGTATTTGCCGCATGTATCCATTAGGATACAGCCGGATAGCCCTCGGAAACGCGCGTTTCTTTTACCGCAAATTGCTGTAAAACGCACGGCACAAAACGCACACGCGCATATTCCGTACGCCTAGGAGTGAACCCAGCCTAAAAACGGTTCCTTTAAAATTCTGAAATGATCAAGTTTAACATTTACACAGTTATCAAACTCCATGAAATAAACCCATTATAAAAGAAATACAGAGGCTACGAGTGGTGATTTATTTCTGAAAATGCAAATGGTCTGGCTGTTATTCCAGCACATTAGCTCAATACTTTGTTAGCCACTAACTGGAAATACGTATAAATATCAGAAGATCAGAAGAATAAGAAGTCATCATTTGTATACTGCGTAAAACCAAAATGTGCCGCGCTATCCTCTCCTTCCAAATAGTGAACAAAAAATGCAACTTACAAAACAATATACTACAATGTGCACATTTATAACAGAAATATAACTTAGTGCAGTGTCAAATATATATACACTATATTGCCAAAAGTATTGGGATGCCTGCCTTTACACGCACATGAACTTTAATGGCATCCCGGTCTTAGTCTGTAGGGTTCAATATTGAGTTGGCCCGCCCTTTGCAGCTATAACAGCTTCAACTCTTCTGGGAAGGTGTCCACAAGGTTTAGGAGTGTGTCTATGGAAATGTTTGACCATTCTTCCAGAAGCGCATTTGTGAGGTCAGGTACTGATGTTGGACAGGAAGGCCTGGCTCGCAGTCTCCGCTCTAATTCATCCCAAAGGTGTTCTGTCGGGTTGAGGTCAGGACTCTGTGCAGGCCAGTCAAGTTCCTCCACCCCTAACACGCTCATCCATGTCTTTATGGACCTTGCTTTGTGCACTGGTGTGCAGTCATGTTGGAACAGGAAGGGACCATCCCCAAACTGTTCCCACAAAGTTGGGAGCATGACATTCCAAAATTTCCAAAATTTCTTGGTATGCTGATGCCTTAAGAGTTCCCTTCACTGGAACTATGGCGCCCACCCCAACCCCTGAAAAAAACCCCACACCATAATCCCCCCTCCACCCAACTTTATACTTGGCACAATGCAGTCAGGCAAGTACAGTTCTCCTGGCAACCGCCTGCCAGGGTTCCACCCTGACTAACTGGTTTGCAGCATTTTGGCTTGGATGCCATTTTACCCACCTGTGATTCCTTCTTTGTCTGAGCAGACTCTGTAATGTTGCTCACTACTCCCAGGCTCCCTCTTGTGGCCAAACAGGAGAGCATCATCTGTGAGAGCCAGATGGGAATTTCCTGTCTATGATGCAAGATGTCAGCCCACTCACTATATATAAACCATTCAGTCCAATCTGACCTTGCCCTTGTGTGGTCTTACCTGCTAGTGCATTCCTGCTGCTCTGAGTATTCTGATTCTGTGTATGACCCGATCCTGGCTGACGTACTCCTCTGATTCCTGCTCCTGGCTTGTTCCTGACAGCGCTGGTCTCCGTTTTCCTGACATGGCTTGTACGACTACACACTCTGGCTCCTGACCTTGGCTCATTCCTCTTTATAATTTTTGCTTGCTCCTGTGAACACTTTTCCTAATAAAATATTTTTAACTAGCACCTTATGCTTGTCTGGTTTTCAATGTGCTCTGACACCGCCAAACCCTGAAATGTCCATTGCGTTGCCGATAGAGAAGCTTGATTCATCACTCCAGAGAACACGTCTACACTTTTCTAGAGTCCAGTGGCGGCGTGCTTTACACCACTGCATCCGATGCTTTCCATTGCACTTGGTGATGTAAGGCTTGGATGCAGCTGCTCGTCCATGGAAACCCATTCCATGAAGCTCTCTACGCACTGTTGTTGTGCCAATCTGAAGGCCACATGAAGTTTGGAGGTCTGTAGCTATTG